GGCACCGAGGGTAAGGGGAGACTTGTTGATGGCCCACATTCCCATGTGGAACTTCTCCTCCTCAATCGACAGGGCGCTGAGACCAATGCTGGGATGATGTTGTCAGCGCCGGAATTAAAAAGACGCACTCCTGTGGAAAGAACATGAAGTTTACTACTCACAGCAACATGTCCATGTCGGGGAAAGCACCTGGGCCGGTGTACTTGTAAAAAGGGACAACTTGGTTCGTGATCCGCCAAATGCTGCGCCAGCCGTTGTAAATGTCGTTGCTGATTCTCCAGCTGTTGCCAATCTTGGGTGCCCTAGTGATCAAGTTAGTTCCTTGTGAATGCTTGAGAGAATTTCGCTACCGTGGACGACGCACCAGATACCCAAGTCAGTTCCGGTTCCCCATTGGCAGACTTGGTAGAGGATGTCCCGGTCCGTTGTGTTCAGCGCATCTGCCATAGCTACGAAGCGATCCGGTGAAACGGCTTCTTCGGAAACATAGTCGACCATAACCGTGGGCTCGACCGCGTAGCAGTTATCGTATCTGATGTGCACCTCGTATTAGCACCCGGCCCTCCTCAGGCCTTTACTCCTTGATGGACGTACTTCAGAGAATCTGCGCCCCAGTTGGCGAATGACTTGGCATCGGTGAGCTCATGATCTGAAATTCTTGTTAGGACTATCTGGTACACTGAGCATTGGAGTTCCGGGTAATTGCTACTCACCGAGAGAAGCGGGCTGATCTGTGGAACCGCATTGGTAGTATCCGCCGCCGGAGTATACGCCGAACTTCAGGCCGAGATTGTGGATGTAATCGCCGAGCTCCTTGCCGCCTCCGGACGGGAACAATTCCGGGTTCCACACGAGCTCGCCGTCAGCGGAGCGCTCCTGAGCCGGCCAGCCGCAGTCGGTAGTCACGGTGGTGTATCCGGCGTCGGCTAGACCAGTGTTGATCAAGGCGTGTGCGTTCTCTTTGATCAGCGTCTCATTGGGGTAGCAGTTGTAGTAGTTGTAACTGTTCCATCCCATCTGAGGTGTCGGTGTCTTATGGGTCTTGGCCGAGGCGCGGGCGGCGAGCGCCGTCAGGAGCGTGAACGCGACGGAGGCCATGGTTGATGATCCGATGAGGTCGGGTCGAGAATCTCAGAGGTTCGCAACTACCACAACTCTTCCTACAACAACACCTTAGTCTGCCGTGGGATACTCATGTTTATAGGTCAATTGCAGGCCATTTTCCGTGCGCGAGATTGCAACCGTCTCTCCGCACGGCCCCGTCTTCCCCGGAATTGACTCAATGCCACCCTCGGCCCAGGTGAGGTCATCACGATTCTACGCGCACCATTGAAATATCGTTCCGGTAGTTCCAAGATCTCCACCAGTTCCCCAGGGGTAAGGAAAAGCCACATGATGGATGAGTCGGGGCAACAACGCGGGGAAAACGGCTGGGCTGAGTAAACTTATCGGGGTCAACGTCCCATTGACGAACACGACCACTCGGACTCGGGCGCTTATAAACAAAATGCGACATCGTGCAGCGGTTGTGCAGATGTGCCTGGCTCCACCCGGGCCGCATCAGTCTATCGGAAGGCCCATGGGCTTAAACTGGTTTAAAGGCCGGTTAATGCCAATGTTTCCCCCGCAGTTAAAGAGGAGTCGTATCGGGGTTGCGGCTAGGGTGGGATGGGAAGATTGAATGGAATAGGAAATCTAGACGGGCGTTTGACAAGGTTCGTGACGGTGGGGTTGAGATGAGATCTATTTGCTCAGGTTTGCACGACTCATGCGCCCTGTCTTGACTGGGCACATGTACTTTGATCTGGATGTTACCTCACTGACACGCGCTCAACTTAGAATGCGATGGATCAAGATGTGCTTTAGAGTTTCACGGCTAAAAGACCTAAACTCAACGTCTACACTACCCGCATGAGGCCATTGTCAAGACACGCCAGTCCAAGTCTTGAGTCAAGACAATTTGGGCGTCTGCATCCGGGCGAATCCAGCTCTCTCGTATGTTCTTCCTCGGCCTCGCCTGTCGCTTCGCGGATGACTAGACCAAGTGTCTCAGAATCAGACAATCCGGCTTCTTCCTCGCTAGAATCATCAGTATGAACCAGCAGCAGCGCATATTTGTCGCCGCGGGAAACATCCGTGTCCAGCTCTCAATTCGATTTGTCTCCCGGTCCAGTGACATTGGAGGCGACGTAGTCTCGATCACCATCGTCAACTCTGAAGAGACTTGAATGCGCTATCTTGACCGTGTTTTCAGCCGCAGCCGGTTCATCTAAGGTAGCATGTACTATGGAGGTAGTGTTGTAGTATGTGCTAATGACCTGTCGACTACGAACCAAGGCATAGTAAACGCTTTGAGGATAAGCTTTGCGAACAGAATCTCCCCGTATATGTTATCGGGATTTCTTGGGTGGATGACGATTTCTAAGCGTTGGGCACTCGAAGGGCTCGGCCCTAGTATTGTCGATTCCTCAAACGAAAGTACCATATCGCCAGTCACGGCTCATGACCATGAAGTGGCGCGGCGGCTGTCTCTTTCACGATAGCAGAAGTTTCCCTCGAGGATCCACAGGAAGCCACGCCGAATGTCCAAAGGCCAGATACCGGCCAGATAGTCCTCTCCAAGAATTGGATGCAGATATTGTGTATCCCCGAGAAGGCCGGTAGTTCATTTGAACCGCACGTAAGCTTCCTTTGGGTATATGCGTTCACTACTTAGTAGTAGTCACATAGAATGACATTTGTTTCCAGGGGTCCGACCGTCCGGGAGAGGGAGTGGCAAGCTCACAGGGTAAAGGACATGGTGTGACCACATGGATATTGCTTGGAGACAGCATATACTCGTGAAATGTCACTCGTATTTGCAACGCACTATGTCTACCAAGGCTTCGAAAGTCCTCTTCGTTTTGATCTTTCCGCCAGACAGCTAGCTACAGGACTGTGTTGACTGTTCGAGATTTGGATTGTGGTATTGACGCTCACTTCTTGCTGTCTGAGCATGGTCTGACTTGAGTACACCTTTCCTACTTTTTGTTGACACCATAGCAGAAACTATATTGAACCGTCGAGTTGCGGTAAACCAACCTCATTCTTTAGAACTCATTCTTCCGATCCGACTCGGGGTCTTGTATACTTTATTGATCTTTCGCGCCTTTCGTCGAGACTAAGCGGACATTTCCAGAATCCAGAGATTCTCCTACGTCAATGACCCTGGTGGATAGCCCGTGCTCTTGGCTTGCTAGATAATTCTTGTGTGAATTTATACGGCAGTCTGTCAACAATTGCTTCGCGAGTGTATGATTCCGACTAGATCCAAGATCCTCATCAGTCTCAGAATTACCAGTTCGCAAACTGACAATGCACGAGGTGGTATCTGAAGCAAAATTATCAGCATCAATTAAGCTCTCAGATAGATACGGTAACACATGGTACAAAATAATTGCATAACCTTAGATGTGCTGTCAACTTGCCGGAAGTAAGCAGGGGAACCGGGCAGGCCCATGTGCCATAAAGTACTCATCCTCATCGTCCACATAAGGAGCGCCGACTTGCACTATGACCACGTCGAAACAAGATCTTTATAAGTTGTTTGCCAGCTATACGAGTGTGTAGCATTCATGAAAGCTGAAATTATGAATCCTGCAGTTGCTTGGCCGTTTCATGGAATCGACATTCGGAGCTTCTTCGGATCGGCGATTCTTTTCCTTTGCGACTATGTCAAAATGAAACATAACAAATTCGATCTGTGCGACAGTGGTCTTTTTACTTATGCCATTCACATTATGCTAAAACAGGCCTCGAATACTGTAACATCTATGATTCATCTGAGAGTTCTGGAGCTTCTTTCGATTGGAATGCCGTGAATCATAGAGCCGCAAGCATCCTCGGGCTCACAAAACTTATTCATCTCGAGTCTTTCTTTCCAGAATGATCTTTCCCTGTATGAAGCCCCCTACAGCCGAACTCAACCAAACCACCTTGCCATCGCTGATGTTCACAGCTGTAATCAATGTTTCCTTCACATCCGCATTTTCCACTGCCCATCTTCGCGAGACGCCCATCTTGCATCCAGTCTCACTACTCGGAGTCACCAAACTGCCATCCCTCCAAAAGTACACCGTCCTAAACGCGGCTCCCATGATGTGGCCGTTCTCATTCTGTAACAGCACGTCACATTCAGCAGGAGACGCCGCCTCGTCTACACCCGCACGTTTCCAAGCGGCGCTATAGGACTGGCGATGCGTTGTTTTGTGCTTGGTGAACAGTGAAGGCTTTGTCGGCTCCATGTCCAGGTACACAGGGATTTCTGGAGTACTGAGAGAGTCCGTGATGTTCAACAAGTTTCTTGGGTAAAGGGAATCCGATGAGATGGGCCTCCGGCCCGACATGATGCTGAGGATTCCGTCCCTCTTGAAGGCCAAGCGCACGATGAAGCGTCTTCCCGGGTCCTTGGACGCTTCGCCGTGGATTAAAAGCATGTGGGCGCTGACCTGCTTGGACAATGATTGCACGCGATCGATGCTACGCAAGTCCTCAGCCACCGCGGTCCATGAAAGATCAGACGCCGCAGCTTGGAGACGATCGATACCATACTGAAGCAGGTAGCAGTATGAATCCGGCAGAGATGCCTCGTTATAGGGGAGACCTGCCGAGTAAGCGAAGGTTGTGATGATCTCGAAGTTTGCGTCAGAGGCGATTGCCTCAACCTCTTCGTTAGAGACCATAGCTACCTTCGACGTGATAAGAAAGCCTAGGGTAAGATTTCACACTTCAGAGGAAGCAAAGGCTGGGAGAGCCTTGGATATTTATGTTTGCCGGACGTCGGTGCTGCGACTTATCAGCTGCAGACCTGCGGCGCAGCCACCAGGGATCAGAGAATAAATCGTCTCCATCTTAATCGAATACAAGCTAGCAGATTTAGGCAGGTCATATCCTTTTGCTGGAGCGCTGATGATGGTGGTTCTCGACAGCTTGTAATCAAATAGCGAATCTAAGATCCGTGGATGTGCGCACGCTTCCGGCAAACCGGTACTGCATCTGAACACGCTATAATTCAGGATACGCAATCTGCGAGAGGTAAGACCGCCCATGAACTCTCCCTCCGAGATCAACGTTTGTGGTTGTTGTAACCAGGAGGTTTTGTTGTACTTCTGCCCACGTATCAAATGACAAAAGCTCGCAACAACTATAGACTATTTATTCCATTCCGCTACCCCAACATGACGACCTCTCTGAAGAGATCATAACATGAATCGTACTTAGATACTCTACAATATTTACGCGTACTCTGTCAAGCAGTTGGTGTCGAGCCCAGTGATCCCGTCACGCTTAACCTCACCACCGTCCTCCTCAATGCCCTCATGTCTCTTCTTCGCGTACTCGTGCGTCTAGTTGGTATCTGAGTCGGTGGACTCATCGCGAGTAGCGAGGAGAGCAGAGTTACATGGAACCTCCAGCGGGCCAATCTCGAGCCCCTTGCTGCCGGGATATTGGCCACACTGAGCATGTCAAGTGAGCGGGTTTACTGTTTCACAGCTGCTCGAGGAGAACAAGGCCTTCACAATAAGCTTGGAGGAATCCAAGAGTGCCTTTTGGCTGCGGGTGAGGTTGCCAGTATTGACTCCGACAAGGGCGCCCAGAGCAAGAGGCAGGATGCTGGCAAGGGCGAGAAGAGAAGGTTGCGGGTTCGCAACCTCCTCATTGGTTAAGTCAGACTGACACAGAAGACCATTACGAAGTAGCTCAACGCAGTGATCGAAGCGGACAGTCTCCGACGGATGATGATGATGTTGTCCACTTTCATTCAAGGACTAGTTGACATAAATTACAGTCGTTATTTGCGGCTTGTGTCAGGCGTAGTACACTTCATGGTGTTGATAGAATACTCCTTTGGGAAACTCATCGGCTCGGAAGCTAGCTTGGGCAAGCTCGATCAAGGCCTCGAATGTAAGGCTTGCGCAAGGAGCGCACCGGTGATCCATGACAAGATATGGGGGTTTTAGAAGTGTGCGGGAAACATGTCGTTGACGCAATAATCTTACATCGGGTGATAGAGCCAGCTCACGAATCACACGTGTCCTCACGGAACCTGCGATTGAACGGCCCCTTCATAACGGAATATCGTGATGTTTCCGCTGGGCACCCTTTCGCATTGTCCGTCATACTTCGTGTAAAAGTTAAAGTGAAACGTTCATATCCTCAGTACCTTTAATAAGGGATGTCATTTCAGATTGAGAAGTCTGTTGGGTGAAGCATGTGATATCTGCTCGCTTTGAGGAATGATCCAACTATTTGCTCCCTGCCGCCTTTGCGTATTGATCACCGAACGCACCATACCATCTGCCGATAACCTCTCCAGCCATGCCCGGCCCGATGGTCTCGACACCGTCCTCCAATTTACTAGCGACTTCCTCCATAAACTCATCCACGCTGAGAGCATCCGGATTATTCTCCTTCTTGTTGTCGTCTGGATCCGATCGCTCTCGGTGCAGGTCAGTTGCTACTGTCGGTGGCGCAATTTCTACAACTCTGACTTTGGAACCACTGTTTTTGAGCTGTGTGCGAAGGTTCATGCTCCAAAAGTGCAGCCAAGCTTTGGTGCCGTTATAGACGGGGTTGATGATGGAGAATGGTATGAAGCCAAGTACACTCGACACGTTGATGATGAGGGCGGATTCCTTGGTCTGAAGGTGTGGTAACAGGCCTAGAGCCAGATGCATTGGGCCCCGAATATTAATGTCGATTTCTTGATCAGCCTTCGGTAGGAATCGTCGTCCTTGAGAATCTCCAGAGGACGTTGCACCCCAGCGTTGTTGACGAGGCAGTCTAGATCAGGGTGTTCCTTGGTGACACGTTTGACAAAGTCGGGTATCTGTTCGACCTTGCCCGTGTCCAGCACGTAATAGCCGACAGCCCCGATCTCTTTTGCTGTTTTTTGAAGTTTCGATTCTGTGCGTCCGGCGATGATGACCTTTTTGCCCTTGGAAATGAAGTGCTCGGCCATCACCTTGCCGATGCCACCACCACCACCGGTGATGACCGCACATTTGAATCCTAGGTTGTCTTCTGAGGGAGCCATGTTTTCGTATCGACGGATTGAAATGGTGAAATGATGAATTGGTGATGATACAGTAGTCCGAATCTTACCCAGGGTGTTTAAGAGGGTCGTCGGCTACATGCAATATAGCCGAGGTGATGGTGAATGAAGCATATATGGATTCAAGATCCAGGAGAGCTTGATAACAAGGCCATTGATACTAGTGGGGTATTGAATGTGGCAGTGATGATGTCGAGCTTCTGTAACCTTTTGAAACTTAGCTATTGGGCGATGACGCCGGCTTCGGCTCAACGACGTCATCATCTTTTAGGGGCTGTACCTTTGGCCATAATTGTGGCGCCTTACCGTAAATCATTTAGTTCATCATGGAAACAGATCTCTGGGTAAGAGACTGACTTAGCGCAGGTCTGGAAAATTTTTCCCTGGCAGAGTGTATGCAGTGACCTTGGCTAATCTGGAATGAGTTGGCTTTGGATGTGGTCGCAACCTCAACCATGAAAATATGTCCGCAGGGTAGAAGCGTTCATTCTTGAAAAGAACGAGTGGCCGACTGACAGGAAGTTTCTAAGATGCTCTAATGATGAACAGGTGTTCTCTTAAACCAATATGGCTAATGTACTAATCTAGATGGTACACGATATGTGTACTAAGGTGTTTCATTGTCAAAAACCCAGTGCTCTGTGAACTCTCTCAACTCACATTGGAAACATGCTGAGAGAATTTCTTCGGGAATTATCTCTATGAGCCGACAGTCTTTAGGCTTGCTTCTCTAAGTCAAGGTGATATCGCATCGCTTCCTCTTCGGCGATAGAAGGACGTAATCCCTCATTTCCATGCTGTCGGCTGGCATATCTGGGCCTAGTCTTGCACCGCGACATCTTTTGAAGAATACGGCAGTGGAAAGCCGGAGCTCCATCATTGCCAGATATTGACCAATGCAGACTCTGGCCCCAGCTCCCAACGGGATGTATGCTTGCCTTTGTTGGAGGGAAACTGTGGTCGGGTCAAGGTATCTATCAACATCGAATCTAGACAGTCTCGAGTTAGCTAGTGCCTTTTAGATGGATGTTCTAGATAAGCGTACCGATGAGGATCCGGGAATACTTTAGGGTCGCGCTGCAGACTGTAGGCCGGGCTGTAAGCAACAGTACCTGCAGGAACAAAGTGTGATGACAGTGTAGTCCCCCCATCCGGAATAAGCCTTGGTAGAGATGAGAGGACGGCGGGATATAAGCGCAAGGTCTCTTCTATAACGGCACTCAGTATGGGGCACGCCTCAAGTCGTTTATCGTCAAAATCATCTCCGAGTAGTGCGATCTCATCCTCGAGCTTTTCTTGCAGGACTGGCTGTTTCAACACCGACCAGATGAGATAGGTCAGAACGGCAGCGGTGGTGTCTGTTCCTGCAACCATCATACCTGCACCCTCCATACCGACGGCCTCTTTTGTCAACCAAGTCCGACCTTCACTGTCACATTCTGCGAGCATCTCCGTAAAGATACTTTGGGTTGACGAGGGTCCTCGCTGTTTGACACTCGCTACTCCATCTGCACCACCGAGCCTGACTTGCTCAAGCTGCCGGGAGAATGTTTGAAGCAGTGACCGAGGTATGAGTTGGGACAGAGAGGCGAGAAAAGGGATCTCGCACTGGATGACATCCGCTATCAGAGCATTCTCAATGGCTTGCATGTACATCGTACTCTACAACATGGTACATATGATTAGTCCGTCAGTACCTTAGTAAGATCCAAGGATAAGTAAATGTTCTTCCATACCTTTCCAGATTCCAGCACCCCCAATGATTGCCCAAATGAGAGCTGGCTAATAATGTCAGCGGTCATATACGTCCACCACTTGTGCGAGTTTGATGAGCCCGCCAAAGCCTCTGTCTTAATTTTCATGACTGCAAGCTCAACTTTACTCCTAATAATCGATTCCCAATTTTTCCGTAGGGATGCAAGAGTGAAGGAGCCTTGCAAAAGTCTCCGTCGCTGCTTCGCCTCTTCGCTGTTCAAAATCATGGACAAAGACAGGGCTGGAAGCTTCTTTGCATAATCGCCAATCCATTGCGCCTTTTCGAAACCGCCGCCAAGTTTGTAGACTTGGGAAACTGATTGGATATCGATGCATGATACTTCATTCGGTGCGATTCTAACAATGCTTCCGTACTTTTCGTGGAGCTGGTGTACGTATGTCATGCGGGTTCCCGTCAACCGGCTAAGCTTCAACCTCAGTCTTGAGCATCGTGTATGCCAAGGCCCTGGAATATGTTTGAGAGGGGAGTTGAGGTACTGTAATAAGAGCTACTTCAATCAGCTTGGGATAATTGGCGATTGTCAGACAGAGTGGAATTTACGTTGCAGACTACGAGAACCCCTGCAGCTCCAGCTAATGCCATAGCCATGGCCTTTCGATCGAAGCCATCTTCGGGGTGCAAAAGTGTGACCCTCATGGCGAGTTTGCACCGGACCAACACCTGAAAAGGTTGATTTCCAACAATTTACAAATTCATGAGGGAGTAAGGGCCACGACTATGATGGAAATCCGCCGCCTTCTCTCAGTAGAACGCCGGAGGAACCGGATTAAAAGCCAGCGGCAGGTCCAACACAGACACTTCCAGATTCTTCAGCATCATTGTGCCGCTTGATCACCTGGCACAATGGCTGTCTCGCTGACGAATGAGAACATAACGTTTCCGCCTTCCAACAACCAACGTCACGTTGGAGCGATTTGACTGGCCTCGGCAGTGATGAGAACCATGTAAAAGCATGCAGGCCAAGATGCTTTCGTGCAAAGGCGCCCTTTTGGACCTGTGACATTGGTTGGTTTGCTGGACTGCTATCTTCAGCTGCAAACATGTAGCAAACAAGGTGGGCCTGCTTGGTTTAGCTTGCGGCACAGAATAAGTCTGTCACAGGCTTCTAGCCCCGTGTCTGCTGTCCTTTCCCCGGACATGACTTCCATGAATGGGTAAGTTGAAGTTAGATCAAATCGTGGAAGGAGGTGGGAAGAAAGACAGCGAAGAACTGGGTGGACTAATTGGGCCATGAGAGTTCCGGAGCACTTTCAAGTCACCCATGGCAGCCGGACTTGGCAAAGTTGGACTGGGTCGGGCGCCAACAAGGACAGTCTTCTCAATTGCTCAACAGCTTTCTAGCTCCGGACAGTTCATGAACCTTACTATTGCGCATCATTCTTGAATCAGCTTGATCCTCTATTCCCATTCAGAACCGACCTGCCACCCTTTGGCGAGAAGCAGACGTGCTTTCGGTTGAATCTGAGTGGATAAAAGTCTTCCCACCCCACAGAGGCTGGGCCTTTCCCACAATTCGCAGACCCGCAGGTTACTGAAGCCCTCATTCGCATAATCCTTGCAACAAACACATGGTCTGGTGGTGTAGTTGGTTATCACGTCAGTCTAACATCGTGATCGCATCTTGCGCTTCACCTGGCACACTGAAGGTCTCCGGTTCAAGTCCGGGCTAGATCAGAGAATGGGCGATTGGTTTAGTGGTATAATGACCGCTTAGCATGCGGTAGGTCCTGGGTTCGATTCCCAGATCGTCCATATTTTTGCCCTCAGAGGCTGTGCTTCCTCTTTTCCTTATTGGATCGTCTCAGATTTGACTCTTCTGAGCAGTTTCAAGTCAATCATCGAGTTGCAGAAAGTAATATGCCCGTCTGTGTGGTGTATTAGAAGCAAGGGTGGCCACACATGAGTGAGGGCAAGTGCTTACTGAAGTTCACGGGCTGGGGGTGTCTTTAATGGTCCCGGACTTCAAGTCATCTTTCTGCGCTGGTAGTTCTGGTGGTCGACTTCGACATGTGTACAATCTTTGGGAGTACCAAAGACGAAGGCTCGTGATAAATGGCATGATAAAACATTACATTGATCATCTAGTTCTGTGATGCCTTTGCGGCTGCGTCTATCTTTTGCTCCTTAAATTTACTGAATCTCAGTAGGAGTAACAATAACCCAGTTCTTGTCCGCAGTGACAGGAAGGTTGTTCGCCTTCTGGGCAGCAGTGTTGTTCACAATCATCTCGTTCATGGTCGCCATGGCGCTGTCCTTGCGGTTGATCCAGAGGTGAATGCCGCCCCTAGCAACATTGACGCCGTGGAAGATCATGGGGCCGTCGCTGGAGGGGGTGTCGCCACCAGCCAAGATAGGTCCCTGCCACTCGTTGATGTAAGTGAGGATAGCCGCCCACTTGCCCTGCATCCAGGTAGCAGGAGTATAGAGGTAGGGAGTGATGACGAGATCCAGGTTGGCCTCCTCGTTGTAGATGCCGTCCTCGATCTGCTTACGGCTGGTGGTGAGATCGCCGGAGGTTAGGTTCTTCATGAGCATGGTGACGCCGATGACGTTCTCAGGCTTGACGTTGTAGCCGTACTTGGGGTCGGCAGCGACCATGCGGACCAGCTCTTCAGCAGCGGCGGTGATAACGTAGACGTCAATGCCGTTGGCCATCAACTTGTTGTAGAGCTCAACCTGGCCGGTGAAGATCTTGGGAGGGCTGACCTCGGTCGCAGTGATAACGTCGTCCTCGTAGTAAGTGGTAGAAATGGTATGGTTCAGAGCCATGAGATCGTCCACGTGCTCCTTGAGCTCCCTCAAAGGAAAACCGCTCCAGATCTGAGCAGCCCACGGGTAGCAAATAATCTCGTCAATGTCGCACAGGCGGAGGTAGTAGCTGTACAACGTCTCGGTGTGGTTTGCCGTGTCCTTGAACGGAATGAGCTTCAGGGTAGGGTCCATGGTGTCACGGGTAAGAACACCGATGCTCTCGAGATACGGCAGCAGCGATTCCTCGAGATCGAAGCGGTAGCTGGTGTTGTCCATGTCGAAGACAGCGTATTGGCTCTGGTTGGCGTTGGCCGCGATCATGGTGTTGAGAGCCTTGGCCGCCTCGGCCGGCCAGTGCTTCAGCTCGGGGCCGGCAGTGTGGTTGAAGGCGTAGACCGACGGAGCGGCATTCGCGACGCCACGGGCGATGGCCAGCCCGAGCGAGGCAACGATG